CTGCTTTAAAACTTCTTTTTACAGATCACGAGAAAGAGCATATTCAAAAGTACAAAAAAGAGCCTAGTGCTCACTTTTGCTACACTTTTTGCGAAAATGATAGGAGAAGAAAACACTTCAAGTCGAACAAAATACCTGATATACGAAATTTTCAATTTTTCCACCTTTCGTATAATTTACGTAATTCTCTTGATTGAAGTTCTAAAACTAAAGTTTGTGTATGGTTTTGTAGAGTATTTCGTGGCGCATCTTTTAAAAATAACACTAATCTTAGGATCCTAAAGGAACATGAGAAAAATAGAAAATACTAAGAGGCTCGTTCATTATGACGCACTCGCTAGAAACCTTGATAATTCCACAGCCAATAATCATCATACGGAATATCAATTATACTCATCAATCCCATTTTCGATGAGCTTTCATTTGGTATATAATTTGTTTTGATATCATTTGTCGTTTGAGCTGTACCCCCCGTGCAAAACATTTTTTCCAGCCCTGTACAACGGGTAATCTATATGTATAATATGCTACCTAATTTTAAATCTCTTTTTCTAATACGTTTCATAGCTATCCAGTCTATCGACACTTTCAAAAATTTTTTAATCATAACTCCTTGACATCAACATCTCTTCTACCAATGATTCATGACGAAAACCAATATTTATTAGTGCATCAACAATTACTTACTCAACCTACCACAAATGAACATGCACGAGCATCAAGAATTGTCAGTCAAATGGACCATAATCATCCAACATCATCCACGGATCCATTAATACAATTGACAATACTACAAACACAGAAGAGGAAAAATTTATCATCGCCTTTAATTATTCATTATACTCATGAACAGCGTTTCGCATATTATAAAGTAAAAATACATCAAATATGGAACAACTTATTTCTACATACACACCAGTGTTGGACCACAAATTAATAGTTGGAACTCGAAACAGACGTAATCTTACCAAAGAATTAGTTCGTCGATGTCCGTACCAATCCAAAAAGACAACACCACAAAACAATCAAAATTAACATCAATAAAATCCTTTCAACCAACAAATACTAAACAACAAAACATTTCTTCCAAAACACTTCTCCTTTTCAATTAAAGATTTTCCTATGTAGACATTTTTCTTTTCTGTACAACCCACAAAAATAAATCCATACAAATAAACTCCTTTTTCCCGTCTTGCGTATCATTTTTTAACAAAAGATATTTTTTGAACAACTATAACAGAGTTAAAGCCAACTGACGAGTCTTTTAGCAAAGACGAAATCCAGATCTTGGTATGCTGTATTCACTCCTTATTAAAGGATTTCTATCGCTTTTGCGACAGGTTTTATAATTTGTTGTGAATTCTGTATAGATACATGTAATCTATCTATGATCTTTGAATCCTTTCGGATGATTACTACAAAGTCAAAGCCAACTGACGAGTCTTTTAGCAAAGACGAAATCTGGATCTTGGTATGTTGTGCTCACCCTCACCCTCAGGCAAGATCACAAACTCTGCATTTATATTCAAATTTCTCAAAGCTGGGTTTTACTGGGATTTACTAGTTGATCGTTCACACAAAATCGATTGCTGAAAAGCAAGAGTTGAGACCTAGCAGATTGGTTTGTCTTTTCGTTAAAGGATAGATTAATCTGTTTTCCAATTGATTTACATCCTCACCCAACCCACACCCTCAAGATCGGCAAAGCTAAACTCTGCATTTCTTTATATTCTTTTAACAACCATATCTATTTAATTAACTGTTTTTGTTGACTTATATCGATTGCCGGAAAGCAAGAGTTGAGATTAGCAAATTGATTTATATCTCAGATATATAGATTAATTTATTTTCATTGAATTTTTGTGAATTTGAATTAAACGAATATATGCAGAAAACTTTACCACTCGATAAGATCATTAACAGGATCGAAACCGGTCGTGGTAGCGATTATATTATACTCAACCTCCCCCTCCCACCCTCAGCCTCAACATCCAATACGCCCACATCATAAACTTCATTGGATTCCAGATTTAGGGACACAACATTTCGATTAATCTTCAAAGCATCAACGAGTGCTCGCGCACCCTTATCAGATATGCGGTTGCCACTAACATCAAGCCTACGAATACTTTCATTCACTTTCAAGGCATCGGCGAATGCTTCAGCTTCATTGTCCAGCAGCATGTTGCACCCCAGAACAAGTGTCCCAAGCGTCGTATTAACGTGCAACGCATCGGCGAGTGCGATCGCCCCTTCACCAAATATTCCGTTGTTCTCCAGGTCCACGGTAGTGAGAGTTTGATTCACCTTCAATGCATCACCAAGTGCTTTAGCTCCTTCGTCCGATAATATGTTGAATGCAAGATTAAGTGTAGTGAGAGTTTGATTCACCTTCAATGCATCACCAAGTACTTTAGCTCCTTCGGCGGATATTTGGTTCGATTCAAGATCAAGTGTAGTGAGAGTTTGATTCACCTTCAATGCATCGCCAAGTGCTTTAGCTCCTTCGTCGAATATTTTGTTCCGTTGAAGATTAAGTGTAGTGAGAGTTTGATTCACCTTCAATGCATCGCCAAGTGCTTTAGCTCCTTCGTCGAATATTTTGTTAGCTCGAA